GGGGGGGTCTGCGAAGCTTGGCGCCGGCGATAATTCAGGTCCCCCCCCGTTCTCCGTCCTGTCCCCGGGGTGCTGCTGCATGGAAAATGCTTGGGAAAACAGCTGGAATAGCTGCAACTGGTTCATCTCGCGTCTCTTTTCCAGCTGTTCCTGTATAACCACGTCGGCCAGAACGGCATCGGCACATCCATAGGTAAGGAGCTCCTCGGCGCAGCCGGCTCCCATCACCAAAGGGAGATGCTGCGGCCTCACCTGCCTTTATTTCTCCCCTTGAGCCGGGCTCCCGGTCCAGGATTTGGGGGAGGGTGGTGCTGGATGAGCATTCGCTGCCTGCTGGGTGGGATCTCTGGGGGAAAAGGGAGACGCACAGGAGACGGATGCGTGGGACAGCGATGTCCGCACGCGGGCCGGGACGACGGACCCGACGTCCTGCTGCTCCCTGAGCTTAAAAGAATTAATCTCTTCCCGGCCGTCTCGTTCCCCGTAGCCATGCTGATCGTCTGCGGTGCTCTGGTTAACGGGCCCTACGCGCTCATCACGACAGCGGTTTCGGCAGATTTGGTAAGAGGTGCACCTCGGACCCCGCCACGCTGCCCTCGCACACCCAAAGGCTGCTCCCTCTTTCCTGGCGGGATGTTTGCTGGGATTTTTTACCTTTTAGCTTTGTTTTCCAATGCCTGTGAAGCCCAGCGGAGAAGGGCAGGGCTCTGCCACCTCTTCCCGTCCCCGGCTGGGTCCGATGCGTGGAAATTGCTGCCTGGGGTGTGAGCCCTCACGCTGGGAATTTCCCCCTGAAGCCGCTTTTCCTCCTTACGTTTTGCTCCTCCGTCCCTACAGGGAACGCACGAGTCTCTCAAAGGAAACGCCAAAGCCCTTTCTACCGTCACGGCCATCATCGACGGCACGGGATCCATAGGTCCGTACAACCAGGGGATGCCAAGCGCCCGTTTCCCCCGGTGCCGCGGCGCTGGGGGTCCTGACCTAACGTTCCTCGTGCGCCCTCGCAGGTGCCGCGCTAGGGCCGCTGCTCGCAGGGCTCATCTCCCCCACGGGCTGGAATAACGTCTTCTACATGTTGATAGCAGCCGACGTCTTGGCTTGCCTGGTAGGTCCCTCCGCGGCAGGAGTCGTTTTGCTTCCCTGGATATTCAAGGGCTCCCTTTTAGCCGCCCGTGGAGGGCAGGGACGGGCCTCGGGACACAGAGCGAATTGCAAAGCCCCGTAGCCACTCCAAACCTTCGCCTCCATCCACTTGGCTTTTCCCAACGACCTCCGTTGCGCACGGTTTTAGTTCACGCGATCTTTCCTAAGGAAGAGCCTTAAAATTTATCTCCCAGCGACGGAAACGCTCACGCCGAGGCTGGTGGCTGCAGAGCCGTCGGCCCCGTTGGCGATCCTCCGCCGTTCCTCTTGCAGCTCCTCGCTCGTGTGGTGGTCAAAGAGGTCCGCGGGTGGTGCGGCTGCATAGCAAGGAAGAGAGGGTACGTACGTACCGCCCCGGGGCGGCCTCTGGTCCCCCGATGCCAAAACACGGTATCGCTCCGGAAAGACGTTTGTTATCCCTTGTTGTCACTGCTGCATCTCCACGTGGGCATCCCGTCGGGCTTCGCGAGGCCGTCTGCCCGACGTCTCGCTCCTGTGGGCGCAAAGGGACGGTTCCACCTCGAGGCAGGGCAGCACCCGGCGGGGATTTTAGCCCTCGCCGAACTCTCTCGGTGCTAAACACGCCGTCCTCGTGTCTTTGTAGCTCTAGCGTGCAGCTCACAGAGTCAGTGCTGGATGGGAAGTAGCTCGGTGTGAGTATCCCCGCTCGAGCCCCCAGGATTAAATGCAAATGCAAGCCTGATGCGCCACGATTTCGAGTTTCGCTTGGCAGGCTCAGCCTAGAAACAGCCGCTCCGCTGATAATTTAAGGGCCGAGATCGAGGGGTTTGGGGAATCAAAGGATCAAATCGCGATGGCCGGGGATGAGAGTGCAGACAGGCGGGCGGGCAGCGAGTCCTTGCCTCTCTGACTTATGAGAGGTCAGCCCAATTAGCAAAACATTGATTAATGCACTTGAAAGAGCTGAATTTATAGGCCCACCCGTGCTAAGGAGCTTGATTACACAGAGTGCGGGCTCGCTAATCAAATCCGTGGCCAAATCACTGCACCGAGGGTGTAAATAATCTTCAAATCAGCACCGGCCCATCGCCGATTGCCACCGAAGCCCCGCCGCGAGCACCGATGGGGACGGGGCCGCAGCCAGTCCCGGTGATGAGGGGGTCAGACCCCGCCACGAGCGTTCGGTCCTTTCTATCTTGTGTTTGCAGGTGAAAGACCGATAGTCCGGGCCTCGCGCTGCGGTAAGTGCGGCCCAAATCTCCTTCTCTGGCCGCCGGTGGAGGGCTCTTGAGTTCCACTCTCCTGTGCCGGGGCTGGTTAGGGCCAGGATCGTCCTGGCCGGGTCAGCGCCGTCTCCGTTTGCACCAAAAATCCGCCTGGTTTGTGCTGGGGGAAGCAGCTGGCTCGGTTTGTGGAAATACCGCAACGCCTTTGAGGGCTTTGGGGAGCGCGTTGTCTCCGGAGCAGCTTGCAGAGAGGAGGTGGAAACGCCGGGCTGGTTTTTTGGGGATGTTTCAGCTTTGGCTGGAGACAAAACGGTGGCTGGATCTCCTCCTCGCGCCTGCTTCTCCTCCGGGCTCGCGGTGCAGATGGGCCTGGGGTTTCCCGGCAGAGCCATTTTCCCTTTCCATCTCTCCGGCAGCACCGTGGCACCTCGTTGATCCCAACGTTTGCCGAACGGTGCCCGCTGCGCTCAGCCGCTCGCTTCTCTCCCCGCAGGTTTAAGGAGTTTTGACGTGCCCCCCGGTGTTCGTCTCGGCAGAGCCGAGGCGCGGCCTCAGACGCGGCCCCGCGGGCTCCTATCGCCACCGTGGGTTTGCTTCGGAAGGAGGCAGCGGCAAGGAGCAGTCCGAGGGCCCCGGCCGACCGGTTTTCTGGGCCGAATCTTCACCGTCAACCGTTTTATTAATAAAACCTGTGAAACCTACGTTGCCGCTCCGTGCTGTTCCCTGGTGGGGCTCGGCCACGTCTGCGTGAACGTGGGGGCCGCGATCGCGCCCCTCTTCTTGGTTTTTTTTTTTTTCCATGTGCCTCTTGTTTGCAAGCCTGCCCCATCCCGGCGCTTGGTATTTTGGGATTTTGGAGCAGGAGGACTGCCCCAAATCACGTCAGGCGCTGCCTCGCTGACAAAGCACCGCTTATTCTACGTAAAGAACATTCCCAGGCTTTTCACTGAGCCCAAATTAACCTGGTTTTTGCTCCTCGTCTCATCTCACTGCAAAAAAAACCCCAAAACCAACCCAAACCAGCATTTTTCCCCCCGATTGTTTCAATTCCTAATTTGTACCGTTTAGCCCCAAAAGGGCCCGTAGCCACGCATCAGCCCCCGCGCCACGGCAAACAGCTGCTCGCACACCGTGGCCGCTCTCAGTCCGGCACGGGCGGCTGACCGTCTTCGTTAGACGCCTCCTAATTAGGAGGAGCCGTGCGACAGGCGCCTGGGGGCTGGCTCCCCGGGGCAGCGGTGGGTCTGGGAGGCCCCGGCAGCGCCGCTTGATTAAGGTGGGGGCCAGCTGTGAGCTCATGGAGGGGCCCCCCCCCGACTTTGACGTGCGAGGAACCGGGGTGCACGGGGCGTTTGCGAGGCGCGGGCTGCGTTTCCCAGCCTGCTCGCCATCGAGGCGCTGACTCCCCGGC